TGCCTCTGATGACGACCATGTAAGGTTGAGTGGGTGTGTCCGTGCGAATGGGCGTGGTCGTGATGATGGCCACTGCCCGCAGTGGTGTGGCGATGCATGCTCTCCGGACTCAGATCACGCGGTGGGCGGCAATGGCTAGACGGTGGCACGGGATCATCGAAACGCGGACAAGGATGATCGCCAACGGGCGAGGCAGTCTCATAGCGTTTAGAGAGCAGGGTAAACTCCTGGTGGGCAGAGCACAGCGCTTGTAGACGATGCAGCAGATCCGTTTCGGGCAGATCTCTCAAATGCAAAGTGCGCGCGACCGAAGTGCGGAACGACTGCAAGTGCGAGAGGCGTTGATTCGTATCCGATAGTTGGGCACTCAGTCGGCTAACGTCGTCGCGCAGAGACTACACGGAGAGAGAGAAAAATAAGCATATCCAACAATAAATAAGCATAAAATAGAACCAACTCACATTGATGAGCGCCTCGTCACGGCAGCGTCGATTTTGATTGGACTCGCAGGTGGATTTCATGCGTTCCTTCATCGCGCTCAGCTGCGAGAGCAGCCTAGTTTTCTCATCCTCCAGGTCGCAGATCTGTGTGCTCAGCTCATCAATCTTACGTGCACGCTCCAGTGCTGTAATCTTGTACTCCACAGCCTCCGCTAACTGAGCTTTGACCTCAGCGATTTGGGTGCGTGCATCGGCGAGCTGAGCGCTCAGCTTATCCACTTGCTTGGCCGCCTTTTTGGCACGGCAGACGGCGTCATCTCGTTCGCCTTGCAGCATACATTTGCCCCGTGCCCCGTCCTCAATGATGGCCAGCTTGCGTCGCAGCAGCTCCAGATGGAGATCTCGGCGTTGCACCTGCTCCCTCAAAATGCGCACGCGCCGCTGCAAATTGTAGACGCTGCTGCTCTCCTTGATCGGCAGATCATGGCAGGAACGCTCGCGTCTCAGCTTTCCCTGACCGGCATGATGATGATGATGGTGCTGATGATGATGATCGCAACAGCTTTTCTCCAAATCATGGTCACAGTGCGCAGCCAAACGCTCGGCACGCTCCAACAGGCTTTCGGCCATGATATTAGTGTCGGCTCCCAGTGCAGGTGGAGCCGTGCATTCGCTCCAGTTGAGCGCATTGGCCAGCCGCTGCAGGTACTCGGACAGACCCATGTGATCCTTGCGCAGCGTGTGTATTTCCGCATGACACTTTTCCAGTCGCTCGGCCAGCTCACACTTTTCCGCCTCACTCGAACGTAGACGGCACTCCGAGGACTCGCGCGCCTCCTTCAGCTTCTCGTGCTCGCTGCTCAGTTGATCGCGCAACGAGTGTAATTGCTACGAAAGTAGGGAAACAGAGAAAGGGAAATTAGACATTGAGAGAGTGAGAGAGAGAGAGAGAAATGGAGTGATCCAAACTCACCGCCTGCAAAGCCTGATTCTCGCCGAGCAGCTCGCGAAGCTTATCTTTAATCAAAGTCTCGCAGGGTTCGGGCACATTCACCAAATGACTGAGATTCCGCAGGAACTGAAGCCGATCGCCCTGGATGCGGTCCAGATTATTTTGCAGGCGATGGCATCGCGATTCGAAGCCACGCAGCTCCTCCTTCAGCTTCTCGCCATTTATTTCCGATTCGGTGAGACGATCGCGTTGTATTTGTAAATCCCGCTCGTACTGGCGACACCGACCCTCCAGCTCATGATTGTGGTTGCCGGCACCGTCCAGCTGAGCGCTCAGACGCTGCTTCTCAATGTTTGCCAACGACTTCAAATTAAGTAGCTCGTTTTCGCAAGAGCTGAGGGTTTCGCAGGTGGACGTGACCTTCGCCTTGGCGCGCTGCAACTCGATCACCAACTCCTCCACACGGGACACAACACACTCGGCCGACGCATGGACATTCTCGTCGAGGCCCAGGCAGGCGCTCAGGCGTCGCAGCAGCTCGTGATACTGTGTCTTGGCCTGCTCCTTGTGGGACTCCTCGCTAGCAGCGTGCGCCTCCACGTGCTGCAGCTTACAAATCAGTTCCTTGTTGCGCTCGTCCGAACAGCGCTTCTCGCGCTGCAACGTCTCTATGGTGGCATCACAGCGCGTCTGTACCGCATGCTCCCGCTGTTCGGCCGCCTGTAGTCGACTCTGCAGGGATGCGATCAATGCCGTCTGCCGTGCCGCCTGCGCACGCAGATTCTCCACATCCGATTCGCGACCACACAAAGCGCTGCGCACTTCAGCTAGCTAAAACAGTTGATACTATTAGAGCCACTGCTAGCTCCCTAGCACCATATCAGTTCTCACCTCAGCAGTCAGACGCTCCTTTTTGTACGATAAGGCGGCCAATTCACTGCGCAGAGTCGTCGGCAGATCGATGCCATGATGATGTTCTGTTACTGTAAGCCCTGTATTTCCACAAGAATTGTCCAGCTGCAAAGCACACAGCGTTACTTAAATAAGGCAAAAACTTAACTAAGTTCGGTAACACAAATGAGACATCTGTTTATGAATAGATCAGAAATGTCGCTTATTGGGGATACGCATTTTCATGTACTCATTTTCTAATATAAAACTCATAACTAAACCCATAAGCTAAGAATTTAGCCCCTCCACTTCTGCTAAAAAGAGTCTATACTTATATCTCTCTTCAGTTAATGGGCATATGAATTGCTTCATTTTCCAATTATTAGATTATACAATATTAATTTCTTCCCAACGAATGTGAGTTTCTCAAAAACTTTATCTAAGCTCTGTTGCTCACTACCCTTAATAATATTCTCCCCGAGCTCCGCATATACTTAACCTTACACATAGAATCTTCATTAAGAAAAGTAAGCATTAAGAACTTATTTTGAAATCACATAATAAAATAGTATAGCAACTCGTATACAATTTACTTCAATCAATTGAAAAATGTTCCTTTCTTTTATGCCTCTCAAACTATTCATCAGAAAATCTGTCATTCACTATAATATTTGTTGTCATACCAAATGATGATGATGCGGAGATAATCCACCACTGAGACCCAGATGATGGTGATGGAGATGATTATCACTGGGCATATTCTGCGCAAATTATAAACCAATTTCGTTCCTTTATTTCGTTTTTTAGGTATCCCAACGAACCGTTCAATGAAAGCGCTCGACGCGAACTAAGCCCTGTGGCTAGACTTCCTGCATTTCCAACAAGCCGTGGAGCATTGACAACAGCCTAACAACTATGAATTTACCTCAACATAACATCACACAAACAATATAAAATACTCGTGATTTATGCTCCAGCCTGGTTTGGGGGTCGAACGAACGGGTTGGCAGGGTGCCGACATAAGTGAAAACGAGCTCAATGGCATTGTACGGGGAAGTTGCAAGGAGTTTAGGGGAGCTCCAACTCACCAAGCATGAGGTTTGCACATTCCAAACTTTTCTCAGTTTGTTTTCCGTTATTTGGGTCATTCACATGGCAAATGCAATTCAAGCCAAAGCAACGTACGCATGCAAGCCGATATATGGAAAGCGATTGCCTCGAGGCGGACTAGAGGACGCCTCGAGCACAGTGTTTAGCTTCATTTTTTCAACACTCTACCGGAAACGGAAGTTGAGGTGTGCAAATGCCAGCTATGCTTGCGATCAATAAAAACTAGCTAGCATGTGCATAGTTGTAGAGATTAAGGAAATATTTAGATCTAAACTATATGTAGACTGAGGCGAAATCCTAATTTTTATGTTCTTTAATTTACAGACATTTCAAGTCATAGTTCTAGGAGCAGCAAACCTAATCAATGTCCAAATTATGTGAATAATTATGTTGATTTCAAACCACTGTGCAGTTAAATATAATGCAAATCACTTTGAGCCATCGATAGTTGCTCACTCACAAAAAAAGAAGAACAAAAACAACAATGGCAAAAGTTTTTGAGCCTTAACAACCGCATAAATTTCACACCAGAAAAATAACGAACCTAAATTGTTGATACGACTGACTGCCTTATACCCTGTACTGAGTATATGAAGATCCAAATATAAGCGGAAGCTGTTTGATTTATTATTCGATTTCTTAGTCTGGAGAGGCATCTATAGAGACAGTACCTCATCAGTGTTTCGACCTGACATATTAAAATGTACATTGTGTATAACGAATATACCTCTTTTCACTTTGTATGCAGAGTATAGAAATAGGCACCAGCAAAGTTTTTCTCGTTGATAAGGCCCGGTGATTATGTGAATAGAAAGCACAATTTGCCAAAAGGAAATTATATGAAACTCATATGGATATGCAGACACATATACATATGTATGTTTATATGTATATGTATAGGTGCACTAAGATGGTTTTATTACACATTCGTCATATTATGGCGATTTGTCACATGATTTTCGGGCAACTGGAAACACATTAAAGTCAGGCAAAGATATCGCCAGCACTTACCGCAACGGAGGAGCATGCAGCGCTTGCCAAGGGAGCTTCTGGTGACATTGGCAATGAAGCGGAGGACGACAGCTTTCCGCATAGGAGCTCAAAGGCATACCAGTCCTCGGCCGTGTTGCCATTTGTGTCGGGCCGCAGATTCGCTGGCATATCGGAACAAAAAATAAGTATATACTCAAATAAATAACTCCGATTTCGTGTAGCTGCCGTTGAACCGTGTACAAAATCTGCTATTCTATCTATTTTCAAACTGTAAATATACGAACAACAAACAACAAACAACCTGGCAACAGTCGCATGTTGCAAAAGCTATGCTACAACCAGTTGCCAGGCGCATAAATAACGATACATAAAATGCCCCTTCCAGTGTGGGCGGGCAGCCAAACACGTGGGCGTTACTAGGGCAATGAATGACATAAAACTAGAGCGAAGAGTATCCGATTAAAATATACTCTGGAAGTGCCATCGATGCTTAATATAGAATGATATCAGCTGTAGCATTATATATTATAAACTAACTTTCTCTGCTACATCATGCTGACAGTCCATATACAGTTTCACTTTAAACACATTCTTTATTATCTACAGCCATACTTGAATGAATAAAACATCTGTACAGGGTGTAAGCACGCACATACATAAATTTTGCAGCTTGGACAAATGCATTTCAGTAAATGTTTGCGCAAAAGTTGTTTCGTTTGTTTAGCTTGACTTTGATTTTGATATGGGAGTCAGGGAAAAGTCCCTCCTTATTTTGGACAATTTGTGATGAATTCGATTCTATTCCACTTCCAAGTTTATGAATTTGAACTTTACGTCTGATATGGCTTTGTTTAGGTTGCCAACGAAGCTAAATAGCTGTTGTTTGACTACTGCTAGGCGACTTGTAATTTGAATGCATATTACTTCTTTTTCTTCTTCTTGATATTTTCAATCAATGTGCTTTTTCTGCTTCTGGAGCCCATCTAAGAAATGGGAAATGCGGACTCGAATTATATTTTAAACAAAATTATAGGTCGCTTAAAGAAACTTACAGAGCTTGCTCTTGTTGTTCGACGTAAAATGGGTGCTTGCTCTAATTCAATGAGTTCCCTAACCTCGCTAACTCGACGCCTAAACCTTTCCACTTCCTCCTGGTGGAATTTGAGATCATCTTTGGCCTTTACCCAAAGAGAACGCGTTATGTTACACTTTAGTTCGGCGGCCTCTAAGTCGACTGCGAGACGTTCCTGCCATTCGGATATTGACGACCTATAGGAATCTATTGAATATTGATAAACAAAGTCAACATATCCAAATGTGGCGACATCTAGCACCATCTTGTTTTGCAGCTCCTTTATCTCATCCGCATAGACATTCTCCTTCTTCTGCAACAACATTTGAGCCTGGTCACTACAGCTGCGCAGCCAATTGCTGCGATAGCGCATCTCAATAAGCGATAGAGCTGCAAAATAAAGACTCGATCAGGCCCGGATCAGATACTATCTATAAGATCTCACAACTTGCCATCTGTTTTGTCACCCTCGGCCTCCAATTCGAGGCCGCATTGTGATGAAATACGAAATGCACTATCCCGGATAATTGAATCGAGATTGTGGTAGACCCTGCGCAAGTCGTTTAACTCACTGACCCACGTTGAGTTTACCTCATAGTTCGAATCGCTAAAATATAAATATAAAATACATAAATATTTTTAGGGAATGGTAAGCCAATAGTTTAGATAACTTGTGGAGCTATGTATAGCCTTAATATTAAATTAATTAATTGAACTTGAAGCGATTCAAGATGTATGACCATGATGACACATAGCTTTGAGTCATAAATATTGCAGTCAGTGAGTCTGACTCACTTTATTATCGACGAAGTGTTGCATATATCGCGACCATTCTTAAAGTCTTCCCTGATTAATTCGAGAAGGCGTATGATTTCATTAAGATCGGTGCAGAACTTGGCACAATTCAAATCCGCCTTCGATCTATCCATAACCAAAACATCCAAATAGAGTTGATTGACTCTCTGACGACGTAGGAAAAACTCCAGCGACCAATGAAACAGTTGGTGCGGTATTTCAATAGCCTCCCCAGGCCAAATATGTAGTTGTGTATCGATTTGCTTTCTTAGTCTAACGGAGAGGAATTGTATGGCAGCCTTCTGGAACTGGTAGAGACAAACGGTATAGAGCTTCTCCAACTGTTCGGACGTTAGGGATGGCCGATAATGCGATATAGATTCAGAAGGCGGTGCTATTAGAGATTTCTTCAGCATATCGAATATCGCGATCCCCTCAGCAGTTGTTGAATCATAACGAATCGCCTCAACTTTTGGGACCTTACGCCTTTGTGTGACCTCACGCTGGACGGCTATGAATAAGGTTTTAAGAAATTCATCGCGACATAGAGAGGCATCCGTATGCTCCGGCAATGGATATGACATAAGCTGCGTTTCAACATTGTCGAAAAGGGAATCATACGACCAAATGTCATCGTCATTTTTTATCGACGGCGTTTGGCTCATCTTTTTGATTGGTTTTGTCTTTTAACTTTTTTTTTTTGTAAATTATTGTTTTTAGTTACTATGTGTGTGTTGTGTAAAAACTTAATTTCAAATGGGGAAAACAACTTTCTGAGCTGATAAAAATCGAGTTTGACGTTACATTTTTGAAACATGGAATTTATAGGAATACAAACACGAAAAACAGAATTTAAGAGATTACATTTTATCTCCTATTACTAAAGAGATGCAGCAATTCTCGATGGAATAGATCGCACAAAGAATGAAAGAATGAAAAAGAAGGCAGACTTGATGCTCGCTTCCGGTCAGTCGTGCACGATGGTCCAGTGCCAGTGGCAGGGCTATAAATAAATGTAGCTCATCCCGTGCAGAGCAGAGCAGAGCAAAGGGCTTGGCGACCCGGTTTTCGCATGGGATGCCAGCCCGACCGACTGACTGCCTGGGTCTGGGCCTGGCTGCCTTTTGCCTGTTGTTCGATGCTCGCTGCTTTCTGCTTGCTGCGTGTGGCATGTTGCCTGCTGCAGCTTGCTGATGCCCTGTTGCAGTTTCTAATCGAATCGAAACCTTTTACCCAAATGTTGCCTACAGGCGCTTAGTCGCGCCCGCCGACTTTGTTAGCTAAAAAAATATCGTGAGCCCTGTGTGCAAGCAGGGCTGGCAATTGTTATCAATGTGTGTGTGTGTGTGCCACATGCAACACACAACCTGCAACATGGCTATGTTATTGCGGCTTCTAAATGCTGTTCGCCCATTCAAAATTGTTCTGTTAAAATCTGTGCGCTGCGTTGACATTGCCGCAAAATGTTGCACAGCATCATCCTAAGGGCAAGCACGACAGTGTATGTGTGTGTATGTTGCGCTCTCACTCACACGGCAGCCCTTTACGAGAGCATGTCTGGCTGCTACAGGCCCTCCATCCACCCCGCTTCCCCTCGCTCAACAAACCCATGCCAGTCAGTCGCTAGGGCGAGTACACACACACAGTCACACACACTCTCGCTTGCATTCATGCAAGCATAGCTACACATGTACATATTTATGTATATGCTGCGTCTATGCTGCCGTCCCTCACATACATACAGGCAAAACACGTATGTATGTATGTCGCTGTTCTGTTCTTTTCTGTTGCTGGTTCTGCTGGTGCTGCTGGCGCTGCTTCTGCTGCTTCTGCTGCTGTTCGCCTGTTCGTGCGCACCATCGAAATTTCACATGTAATTCCCACGGCCTGAATTTTCCCACACAAAGCGAAGAAGAGGAAGCGAAATTCAACAACAAAGCGACATACGGGCGATTGGGACAGACAAGAGCAGCAGCAGCAGGCAGCCGCAGCAGCAGCTCACACAGGCAGGCAGACAGACAGACACACACACACATACAGACAACATTTTTTATTGCATTCAACGTGGTCCCAGGGTCGCTGCTCGCTAATCGGCTCGTCTCCTTCTTCACAGGCACACACACAAACGCTGCCACAAGCAGACATACTCAACACATACACACACACGCACGCGTATATTGTTTCATTTTCTTTTTTTCGTTTTGACATTTTTTTTCTTTGAGCCACATTTTTGTTTCGACAGGGATGCAAGCGCATAGGCTATGTAAAGTATTCCAAACACTCTTCAATACCCTTTCTATTCTATGTATCATAGTAATAATGAGAATAATAATAAGACAAATTAAAGGATATTTTGGCATTATAGTTTGTTATTGTAGTATCAAATGTATTTTTATAACATTCATTCATTGGCTACATACATTAACATTACTATTCTTAACACTATATATCATCATAATACTATATGTACACACTAGCCAAGTTGTAACATAACCTCAAAAGCTCACTCAGATACCAGGTTATGTTTACTTAACCTTAAAATGTATGTACATACATATCTTTTAAGATTATTGTCCATCCAACCACTTGACCTTGGAATGCACTTCTAATGGTCCATCTACCTGCGCTACTCAGCAGTACACAAATAAACTAAAGAGCATAGAAGAAGGGCGGGAGTTGGGTTAGAGTCGGAGTTAGGAGTCAGAGTCGGAGTCGGAGTCAGAATCGTGTCGCCCTGACTAGCATAGCCGTCATTCCAGTTGTTTTTAAAGGCATCGACTGCATCGCCAGCTTCGGCTACTGCACTCCTGGTTTATCAATATGTTCAAGGATTTTTTCGTGCTTCCAGGCATGCCATTCCCTGTCCATATATGTAGTCACTGTGTGCGTGTCTGCATATGTGTGTGTGCTTGTGCGAGTTGATGCCTTCAATTTGGCAGCCTGACTTGAAAAGTCATGAGCGGAACACATGTGTACACACAATTGAGTGCCTCCCAACGTAGTAAATTTAGAGACAGAAAGAGGAGAGAGAGAGAGAGAGATTTTGACTGCGATGGTGCGGGCGTGAGGGAAAGAGAGGGAGGTAGCTTAGTATAGGATATTTTGGCAGTTCTTAGCATGTGTGCTACAATTGCTGCTATCCTGTGGCCCAAACTCAGCAGGAGTAACAAAAAATGCGCTTAACGAGCAACTTTCCATACACATTGGCTCAAAAATACACACACAAGCATACATGAGTAGCCACAACAGAGTCAACCAAAAGTCTCAAACCAAAGCTCAAATTTCATATCACTCGCAATAACTTAATACATTTAAAGCGTCATATATGTATGTATGTATGTATGTAGGTACATACGTTAAGATGTAAGTGACTGTTTAATGCTCGCTAAATCAGCTGCAAATGCTCCTTAATTATTGTGTAGGATATTATGTTATTTCGATTTAAAAGTAAGCTTTAAAGTTGTACATATTTTGTATTAATGTATTGTATAACTGTGATATTATCACAAAAGTTTATTTATATTAATATTTCTGTATCTGATCTGCAAGGCTGTTGAAAAAGCTTATTCTGCATTAAATAGCTTCGCTTCGACTTCTCGAATGAGATGGGAACGGACATACATACATACGTACATCTGCTACTCTAAACAATTTGGCGCCATTTCTCTATCGGCAAAGCTTTCGCTGAGCAAACTTTTTGCCACACAGCGCACTCACACTCGCACACACCACACACATGCACGAGCACGCGAGCGAACACATAATCTCGCACACATTCACACACACACACATGGCCAATTCACACTCATTTAAACGCAACGAAATGAAACGGCGAATGGGCCGTCGAGTGAATGTCACGGCGAGAAATCTCTCAAAGCTGCCTGCTCGAAATGCTGAATGCCTGTTCATTAGAGTCCATGAATTGAAATTGTGTGCAACGATGACGGCGACCGCATGACCAACAAAAAAACAAAATAAGAAAAAATCGCGGCTTGGGAATGGGAGGAGGCGTTTTGTATGTGTGTTGGGTGGTGCGGCGGATCAAGTGTTCAATTACGAGTGAGCCACTGTGTGTGTGTAGCAGCAGCCTAATGGCGCTTGAAATCCATAAGCGCTCAGAGTTGAGTGCCTGCCTGGGCTTGCGCACCGCTGGAACTGGAGCTGGAGCTGGGTTCGGGACTGGGCTCAGAGACTCCACGCTCCGTCAATTCAATTTGCGCGCGATTCGCTTGCGCTTCCAAATGAGAAGGAAAAAATAACTAGAGCAACAAGCAGCATCATTTAGATTTAGACCGGAATAGTAACAGGCGCGCAGCATAGCTTGGCAAGCGGCCCGTAGGTACATTTTTGTTTGCCGTTGGAAGTGCAGCATATGGACATCTCGCTCTCAGTCACTCTAGTGGCTTCACTCGCACACATTGCACTTTGCCTGTGAGCTTTTTGCGTTGATGTTTGGCGGTAAATTCAAAACCGAGTATTGAAGGAACAGAATTTATTAAAAAATAACAGAAATAACTCCGCTTACATATAAAAATTTATATTTAAAAGTGAAGGATTATTTTCTTTACATTTGCTGATAATATAATACATTTAAATTTGGTCAATAATACAAAAATAGTGATTGGCTACTTGGCAGGCATTTTTCTGCAATATAGAAAGCAAAACATATATTTACAAATATTGTTATTGTATTTCGATACGGTTGACATTACAATAATATATATACATTTGATTCGATATTATTTAGATCTTTACACTTGCATAAATTAATTAATTTCATCAGCTGTTTTGACTTGTGTACACAAACAGCAGCGTTGCCACTTAACTAAGTATAGAGATACCAGAGTGCTAGAAACACATTAGTACAGCACAACGGGGCTGCCAACTTACGTACAGTTTGGCGCGCAGTTTGAATTTTGAGAACTGATTGCATGGTGCGCCTAATTGCATTTTATAGCACAACAAAGTGAGCGAAGGCTCAACAACAAAGTGTAATTTAATTGCCCAAGCAACAGCAACAACAGCCACAATCTTGCCGCGATGATGAATGAATGCAATTTGTATTTAATCAATAAGCACGCCCCGCAGTGTTTTAAATCAGCGCACAGCGCCGCTTTACGGCTTAGCGCCAGCATCCGCAGCATTCCCTCTGTCTCGCTCTTCCTCTTTCTATCTTTCTCTTTCGACGCATCCGTGCAGAGTTAGGCAATTTTAATTGGATTTGCATTCACAGTCGCTGCTCGATACCCGTTTCCACACACACACACGCGCGCACACTCAACTGTTGCCTTCCTCCGGTGCTCCCTCTTTCGGACCTTTTGCTTGGCCGTCGTACGCCTCTGGCCTGAAACATAAATTTATTTTTAATTTACTTATGTATGCGCGACTTTGGTAGGCTGCCCTGCGGTTGTTTGATTTGCGAATTAAACAGCGTGCAACAAAAAAAAAAGAGGGGAGCAAACAAAATTAAGGCACCGGCTCGTTAGCGCTGCTGCAACATGTCAGTGGCGCTGGTTGTTAGGGGCAGGGGGCTACGTGTGGCATGTTGGCCAGTTCTGAATTGTCATAGGCCAGATCAAATGCCAAAATTAGATTAGAGTTTTTATAGAGCTATAATTCGAAGTAGAATATTATAAGTTTCTTTTAAAAGGGGGCGTGTCAACCCATGAATGTTAGCAATTATAACGGATAACTATGCAAGGGGAACAAAGCAGTGAATTTGAGCAGCTCAAGAATATCCTGTAAAAGTAACTATTCACTTAGGATGAATCAAGGAAGGAGATTTAAATGCAGAATAAAACGTAAAAGAGGTTAGTTTTATTAAGTTAGTTTTTATTAAAATATGCAACTATTTATGCGCCTGTTAAACTTGATCGTGCTCATGTTTGTAAGAAATTAGTTCCAAATATACATTTTTTATCAATACGCCTCATATACCCCAGAACTATTCAAAATGCATACAGGGTATAGGGAATATATCATGTATACATGTAGCCCGTCTCGACTAATGCACAACGGCCCCAAATCAATCTGCAGATGAGTCCCAGCATCTTCCACTCAGCGCGCCTGTTTAATATGTCTCTCCCTCTCTTTCTTTGTCAGTCCCTCTCACTTGTGCCGTTGGCCACACAAACAGCGTCTGTGGCAATTTAAAAATCACATTAAATTAGTCAGCAAGAAATCAGCGCAACGAAACCATCAACAAATCATCTCTAATTAAATTCATTCAAGAGCTCACAGCTCCAGCTCCACCTCCAGCTTGAGTTAGAGTTTTACATTTTGAGTTCATTCATGCTCCGTGCGAACGGGTAGCACTTGGTCAGCAGCGGTTCACTCCCTCTCTCGGTCTCTCTTTCTCTCTCTCTCTCAATCTCTATCTTTGCTGGGCAATTAATAAAAATGTAAATTCAATTAAATTTATATGACAGCAAGCTGTCAGAAGAGCTCAAATTAAAAATTACTAACAAGACCAGTTACCAACTCGCAGTCCACTCAACTCCAGCTTCACTTCGGGCCAGGCTTAATTAAAAATCCAACAACTGCGCGCCTAAGGCAGACGCTGAGCCAGAGACAGAGGCAGGGTCAGGGGAGCAGTGGGGCTGGAGCCGTGGCCAGTTGCTCAGCAATTCTCATTTGCGAGACTTCAATTTGAGTGACGTTCGGTGGCCACCCGAATGCCTGGGATGCTGCAGCGGCTGCTGCACATTTGCGAGGTAGCCAACTGCCAGTCAGTCACCAAAAAGTCGAGATGAGCTGGATGGATGGATGGATGGATGGATCGCAGTTTTTGCTAATAGCGGAAGCGTTGCGGGGCCGAGGCGGTCGCCTCGACGAACACCGCCTAATAATTAATAAATTAAAAAACAAAGTAACACGCACATGACATGAGAGAAACGAGCCAACAGTCGAGGCTGGCCCAGAGCCAAATTAGCCGCACACACACACGCACACACAGAGAGAGGGAGAGAAAGGATAATCAAATGCTGATTTATGGCAATTTGTAGTCGAGTTCAGAGTCGACGTGGCACATCACTTCCGGCGCGACGGCAGCTGTGTGAGGTCCTGGCGCTCAGCTGACCCTCATCCTCATCCTCATCCTCATTCCCATCCACATCGAGTTAGAGTTTATGTGAAAATTAGTAGCTAATTTGCGCTGTCATCATTATTGTGTGTTGTGCAAACATTTGTTTGACTCGACAACGAGCGACTGAGCGATCGCGCGACCGTCCGACCGTCCGAGTGTCCGACCGAATGAGCTCGTGAGAGGCGCATAGAGAGGCGGGACATGCATATAAATGAGCAAGCATGACGGCGCACCGAATGGACCCACTGAATCAGCCACTGATCAGGTACTCAAGCACTCTGAGCATGTTAGCTGCCGTTGATTGCGGCCGTGTGTGCTCCATGTTCATAGATTGTTATTAATACAAAGTTTACAGCATTTGCAACGGACCTCACAAGGAAACACTAATCAACCGGCTTAAGACTTCGAGATGGGTCGATTAAGTGCTACGAATTTGTATTGGATATTATATGATGATATTAGGCTTGTATATTTCAGAAAGAATACTCCCTGTTGTATGTATGTAGAGTTTAGTCTCCTATTTTTCAATTCCACCTCTTCTCCCTCCACCTGAATCAGCCATATATTTCAGCTTAAATGAATAGCTATAGAAATTCTTAATGAATAACCATTTGAAGCCCAAAAACAAATGATAATTGAAATGTGTTGCACAGTGTTATAATGTTAATGAAATTTTATGGCTACGGGAAGACACGCGCATCTCGATCGCCATGTGATGCCATATTTAAGAAGCTAACGATCTGCCGAACAGTCAATTAATATATATCAAAAATGCATATTCATGATGTTTTCGGGCTTCTCTCTCACTCGCTCTTGTTGTTAGCCAGCCCACGCAGTCGAAAGTTAAGCGGAACGAAACGAAACGAATCAAGAAATCAATAGAACGGACCAGCATAATGAGCTAAGCAGGGGCAGTTGCCTCAAGGGGGCGTGGCATAAATTTAAATTATGCTGATTAGCTAAATGTAGGGGTGGGGGAGAAGGGAAGTATGTGTCTGGGTGTATTGGGGGCATCACATCAAAATGGGCATAGCTTATGATTATAATGACGAATAAGCCTGAAGCCAAAGTCAAACGAGAGACTCAAGCAACGAACTTGTTTATGCAAAAATCTGTTCTTTTTTTTAGCCATAAATTAACTCATAATTCGCAAAGACTTATAAACGAATGCTTATCAAATTAATTAATTAGTAGTCGCTGCTCGAATATCACGAATGATTAATAGATTAACCAAGTGAAGGTTCAGCCTGGTACGAATTGACAGGTCATGGGTTAATTACGATCCGAGAGGCTGGCCGAACAAGCTACAACAGCAGAGCTTATTTGGTGTATGCCGAAATGCGATTTGATTTCCGTTCCGCGTCAAGTTCAATGACAGAGCATCGCAACAATAATACACTCTAATCAAATGTCTGACCCTCAGAAATCGAATCACTTTTTGGATTAACGCGCAAAATGAAAGATTTTAATCACATTAGGCGCAATTTTCTGGACTGGATACGTGTTCGCAGCCGATTTCCGGGCAAATTGCTTTCGATTATTTTGGGAGAGACAACGAGCGCTGCGATTGCAATAAGAATTCTGGAGATATCTTGTGCCAGGCGTGGCCGGTGCTGTTTCAAGGCATCAATTTGCAAAACTCCAAAGCAATTTATCGAAGCACAGCGCAAAATAAGCTGCTGATTAGTACTTCAACCTCTCTAGATTAGCTGCTTGCAATGTATACAAAAAAAGTATATTTGAATCATAAGTAATTGCAGGTGAACATAAACGTAGTTCTGCAAACAGATATTTATGTTAAACTTCTACAGGACTTATCTAAAAAATTGAAGAGAAATCATTTATTGTGAGAATATATATATCTATATAAAATATAGACAATAATTATTATTTAAACTTGTAATTATTGCGCATGAAATAAAATGAATTTTTGTATGTATTGATTATGCAAGAGAAGAGTTGAGTTTGACTCCTCATAAGACATTTTTTTTATGTCTACGGATTTTGTTTGTTGTTTTAAGGATGGATGCTGCCTTTGCAGTCGTCTTCCCATCAAGATTATTTCCTTAAGCTTCACAAATAAAGGACTTAATGGACTTGATGTTTCGATGTCCGATCTATTTAGATGGAAAGTTTAAAGAGTATTATTTTACACAACAACAAAATAATAATAATAAAAAAATGTACCTTATAGATGTGGATCCTGCCGGCAAGTCCAATAACCTGCAAAGATATTACGCTTTAAGCTATTTAACTTAACATAGCTTAGAGGCTAGGCAATACGCTTGACATTTCGACTGTTGGCCAATATTAAAATGTGTAAAAAACATTGGCATATTAATTGAACAACAGACAAAAAACAACTCATAAATTAGCTGCTGGCAAATAAATTAGCAAAACGTGGCGCACTCCAGTTGTAGGTGTTGGCCGGGTGCACGCCCATTCACGCCCACGCTACAACATGCACGGCGGCAAAATATTTCGCGCGCACTAATCAAATTTTTACAAAAATAATGTAAAACGAATTAAATTTTTAAAAATAATTTTTTTTTATTAATATATACATATGTGTGTACATATATGTGTTGATTATATGTATAGGTATACAAAACTCTAACAAACTGGAGAAAAACAAAACTTATTCAATTACCCACTTTGGATAGCATATGCATTCAAATTAAATTATGTAGCTGCAAAAACTACAACTACAACTGCAACAACAACGACTGGTAATGGCAATTACAGCTATAAAGCCGCCAAACACGAATCGCGTGCAAAAACAATTTAAAAAACAATCAAAAAGAAACAAAGCAAAAAAAAAAAACATCAATGGCAACATAAAATACCATAGACCGAGACCTCTAGCCAAGCGACAGCTCCACACTTCTGTGAATTTGCAGTTACGTTTCGGTTGGCCAACACCCACACACACACACACACACACACACAAACATTTGGCCACTTTACACTGGCCCCAAATGGTAAAAGTTTAAGTAAACAAAACTTGAGTGGAGCGCTCGATGCCAACCCTGCCAAGCTCTGCCCTACACTACTCTGGCACTCTGCTCTAGCTTGACTCTGCTCATACCCTACACTGTCTGCAGATTGAGCATATGTCAATCAATATTGCCTATTGTCTATCATTAGAAAAATTTCGTTATGAGTAAAAAGTCTTAAAAACACAAAAATGGCAGTACTGTAAGACAATTAAATTCATATATATGATATTCCCATCGAATAAAATGAATATTGATAAGGTCTTTATATTAACGCTTCCACATTTTTTGTTTAAATAATCATATATCAGGAAAAAAAAAAAACTTCAATAAGGGATTTTATTATTCTGTCCAGAATATTAATAATTTTAAAATCTATATATTTTAT